AACCTATCAGGGCGCACCACATCTGTGATCTAGATGGCTACCAGCTGCTAAGATGGTACCTTAGTCCAGGCCTGCATCATGCTAGTATTTCGATGAGCCACAGTGCAAACTACTCCAAACGCAATACAAACCTGCAATCTCGTGGTGAGGTTTGGCGAAAGGACACACTTCGCCAATAGGGGACACGTGCAGGCTGTTTTGTTTACCTGTACTTTGCGTTTGTGCCTGACACATTTCAGAGGCTCAAAAAGGCAATTCTATGTGGTAAAAAAGGATTATGCGCAGCCAGAAATGTCAGCATGGGGGAAATATGGTAATGTCAAACGTTAAGAGGATCGATTATTAGACGGAGTCAGAGTGGTTTGGCTATGGCTGGCGCTCTTCCGTCAACGGGGAAGGGGAAATGCAAAGCTAAGAAGTCGACGAAGTGTACCTCTGAAACTTGCTTCACGCACTAATGTACGAATCAAAATCCATAGACGCTATATTTTTGGTGGCAAATCCTGTACACCGGGCCGCTGCGACATGTGTAAAAACCTACTGTATTAATTACTGGTAGACTTGAAGCCGCGGTTACGAGATGCTTAGGGAGGAGTAATCACCTTGATGGATCGACAGCTACATTAAATACCTAGCTGTACGTTCATCGGTGCAGCTAACAAACCATAATAGGCACCTGGGCTGGCGAATTAAACCTCAAAAGAGTAATCGGAATCTCCTCGGTGGCTGAAGTTGTGCAGTTTCTTTGATGCAATTTCATCACTATATTACAAGAGGAAGAGTGCGGTCCATATGTAGGACTTCTCCCCCTATAGCACATCCAAAATGTAAGATTTCTGGGAGTAGGTGAAGAAATAACTTGTTACCGAGATAGTGCACGAAAAGATACTTACAGAGTACGAGTAAAGCAGCTGACTCCGGAGGGCTTGCGAGATACTGTCAATGTAGTTGAGGGAGGACGTAGGAGTGAGGTAGCCGGGGCAGGAGCAGGAGCAACACTCAGATTATTGGAGACCTTGGAGATCGACGGAGGGGCTGTGCCCCGGGGCCGCAGGAGGTCGAATGAGCGTCTTACTGAAGGAGTGCAGACGCCAGTGTTGTCTGGACATCTGTCGCCAGCGCCCACAGTCGCCAGGCGAGGAGACAGATCGACGGAACTGGTGTATGGGCGCTGCAGACTGTGCCTCGAAGAACGCAGGTAAGGAGTGGCAGGTGGTGCGCTGAGTTTGGGTAGAATTGGACCTGGAGAGGTGGGCAAAGTG